AAAAATACGATATCAAATGTTTCATATCTATATAGAGCGTACCGTATGTGACGTATACATATAATAATAATATAACGATTTACGCGTAATAAACGCCTGGAATGAAAAATTACGATAGGTATTCAAATTATTATGCACCGTATAATGTTGCACCAATGCCTATATATATATTAACGCGATTATGAAATGTGAAAGGAATCATTTATACGTAGAAATATTAGGTATATATACGTGTATATACATATATATATATATATATAGATACCTAGGTATATATTATGTATATATAGTAATAGCGTACACGATTGGCGCACACTTATAATCGACCTCGTATGTGTGTGTGTGTTTGTTTATGTATATGTATATAGAGGTAAATGCCCAAGTGTTTCGAAAACGAATTACCCATGACGATTATTTTAATTTCAACTTTGAATTTTAATTTTTTAATCGCGAGCGTATATTTTTTAAATTTTTATCTCATGTTATCATTATTAATGGTGCATCATCGCATAGACTATATATATAATACAACCATAAATCGTTCGATAAATAACGTATAATATGCACATAATGTTTACCTCCACTCATGTCTAGCCATCCGCTCCCGTGCACGTCCCACCAAGCGGGATTCACCGACTCCGTCTTGATGGCGGGCGCGTGGTGTCCAGCGGTGCCCATCGAATTGAACGGCCACTCGTACGGATGGCGGCCGTACAGCGCGCTGTGGTTGTCCACCTTGCTCAGCAGCGGGCTTTGGTGGTGATGGTGGTGTCCGTTATTGTCAGCGGCCAGCGTCTGGTGGCCACCGCCACCGCCGCCGCCGAAGTAGATGTTGCCGTGGTGCGGCGGAGGCGGGGGCGGGTAACCGGCGCCGGTCGGCACCGGCGTGGACGGAGCCGACGACGTGGAAGTGACCACGGGCCTGGGCGATTCCGCCGCACTGGCCGACGTCCGCTGTTGCTGTTGGCACTGTTGCTGTTGCTGCTGTTGCTGTTGTTGCTGCTGTTGCTGTTGCAGCGGAGAACCGGACATGTCGGTGGACTGCTGTTGYGGGCTCTTTTTCCACGGATAAAACCCTTTGCCCACGGCCGCGTCAGCGAGTGGCGGCGGCGATTTACTCTGCAACTTGTTGCACTGAGCCGCCAACATGGCCAGTGGAGTGTTTCTCAGCCCGGGGTGTTCCTGAAACAAATATAAAAGCTTCCGGTTAGACATATTATTTCCGGTGTGTACGGATACGGATAATACGCGCGGTTATTATAGATGGCCAAGTTTGTAGCGTTACGATTAGCCGTTTATTTATGGATAGACCGAAAACCAATATCGAAGTCACTTTCGTCTATAGATAAACTGTAAATACACTATAACGGCGCTTATCGTAGCTGACTATACGACGTATCATTCCAAACGTCCTGTGAAGACGTGATTTAAACGCGGTTACGATTTGTTAATTGGGCTGTGCTGTTATATTATTATGTTTTRTGCGGTATATACCTGGTACGCGTTTCGATGGCYGGTAATTACTCATGACGTATCGTTGAATACGCGATAAAAAATATGCATACAATAAATGAATAGCAAGTACCGATGTCAGAAGCAATCACGTCGACCATAGACGAGTCGTCGAATATAATATTCGCTATTCGAATATACCAACCTGAAATTAATATTATAATACGCGTCGTATATGGTTGCAACAGTCGTGGTTCACTCGCGTATTATCATACGGGCTCGTAAAATATCAAAATATTAATATTATACGTCGAAATGCGCAGTTGTTCGAAATTAATTACAATAAAAGATAAAACCATACAATATATTATAATACGCGGTGCACGTGGCGTGTGAAGCGATCGTATAATAATAATAATAATATGTGTTCAAAACCAGTTTGTCCGGCGAAACGAGATTTACACATTATATATTTTTATACAGCTAGGCCATGCTGCAGCGAGCATTATAATATTTGTACGACCGGCTGCTGCATAGTTGGCCCGATATTATTAGTACACGAAATGTAATCGAACCAGATCACAGCAACAGTAATTTCACTGCAATCATCGGTGTTCAACGATATATTATGCAAAACAAATGCCCAAACCAATCACGATTTTTTTGTTCCGTGGTGCAACACTCGTCCACTCGTTTCAAATGGTACCAGCTACTCAGTACGTGTCATGACGTCATGTCATTAAAGTAGATAGAGATAGTAATATTACTTGAAAATCGTATATATATATATTATACACCTATGCAATTCTAATTGATGTATATAATTATGTATTCGCGCTTAAAATAATCGTAAATCGACGAATTATAATATAATTATCGTGCGGTTGACCTAATTTCTAATATATACAAATATATTTTCTGATTTTTTTGACCGCGGACGCATTCAAAACTCGTTCCCTGAAATTATATAWATATATGCGTGGACGACACCGCGGCGACGTCTGCAGAGCGAATTCAAGTGCGACTTGTTTAAGTCTCCACATCCGCAAATGACGGATCTCATTTTTCGAGTGATTAACATCGCACGCAAGTCGACCACCCCACACACTTCCTCATTTCAATTTCTATTTAACAGTTATGATGTTATACACACTGCAACACACATATTGACGAATAAGCGTGTGTGTCTGTGTACAATGCGAATGCGCCCAACGGCTGTCTATATACGCGCGGTAACGCCGGTAACGTGTTTGAAAGAATATTATGTAGACCATCAAACACTGCACGTGTGGACCTCTGACCAATAACCTATGTATAATATGTGTACATATTTATATTTTTGTAAACAGCTTTAAATAAATTAAGTTTTTAAATTATTACAAAACAAAAAAAATAAATAAAAATAAAAACGACATCTGAATCCGATCTCAGTATTTGATAGCCAATGGCTAGGTAATAGACCTGACGGGCGACGACGTCTTTACAATAACAATTTTAACCACCGTCTTCGTTCTCGTATTATATTAATATTATGTATATTATTGTGTACAGATACCTACCAACAAATATCGGACGCACGACAGAAAAGAACCGTCGGGTATTATTATTTCTGTGGATCGAATCATTATCATATTTTTCCATATAATATATAAGGCTCTGGGGAAATAATATAAGTAACTACCGACTGACAACTAAAAAAAAAACCGTTATATATACATATTATTATATGTGTGTGTGTTTGTAGGTACTGCAGGTTTAGGTGCATATCATAAATCTATATATATATATATATATATACGCAGCATTGTGCAACAACTGAAATAATCGACAAGAAGTCGTCGGGATCAAATCTAAGAGAGCGAGCGGCGTGCGGTGCAGTAGACAATAATTATATTATACCTAATACAGAAAAAGAGTCTTGCACCGAATATATTATACAGAATAGACGGTGAAACATCGATAATCGATTTAAATTCCAAAGTGTAGCAAATGGTCCTAAGTATCATCATGACGTACGTATATATATATAGGTCGAATCAAAAATGTTACGATTCGATATTATACGTGTTGGACTCGTTGACAGGATATAAATGATGTATTATAGGAGATATTATATTCCTTAAAGCCAACAAAGAATGAAATCATAMACACAATGAAATATAATATTGAAAAGCGTCAATGGTAATTTTATAAAAATGACAAATAAATAAATTTTTTTTTTTTTGTATAATTATTATTAAATGCCAAAAATATTTAACGATTTCAGAGATCTGTTCAATGGTTTTTAACGAACACTTCTTCGAGTGTAACACAAACGTGAACACATAATGCAATATAGGTACGAATATTATTATTATTATTATTATTAATCTTAGTATTGTTGTTATTATTATATTGAGACTGTAGCTAGTTTTCGTCACGACCATTATTCATTCATAAGAATTCTGAAATGACYATATCATACTATTATATGAAAGGGCGATTGGCAAAGTACTTCTGTARGAACATATTTTTCAATGGGATTTAAGTACCCATACAGCAATGACATCTTCTCGTCGTATTAAGGTATGCACGATAAACTCGAAATATATTAATTAATAAGTAATAATTATGCATAGCGCATAATATTATTGTGTAAAATCTAAAAATATTACAAAAATATTTTTAAAAATTACACAAGTTTAATGTACAACCAGTCTTGTATAATATTACGATGTGTCAGAAGCCAAAACATAAGGTTACAATAATTATTTTGCTTTTAAGTGGATAATATTATTAATTATTTATACAATTTACATATATTCTTGTAACGCGTTAAAACTAATTAAATTATACACACAATAAATAAGATAAATAGATAAAATTATCGATCGTATTGATTTGAAGGATATCTATATGCATCGACAGTTTTAAACAAAAATACAAAATGGGTTTTTAAATCTAATTAACATAATATAATTAAATGGAAACTTAACGTAGTCTGCAGAAATATTATTATATCAATGCGTAAAATTATTGCGAAATATCATTATAACTTACAATAATTATATGTATATTAATAATAAAATATAGTATTATTATTGTATTAATTTGCAGGGTGGATGATGTACAAACATACCGAAAAAAAAAATAATGTGATTTTCAATGCCAGTGTTCACCGACGGAGAAGTTGGACAACCGTCACTTGTGATGGCTGCACACACAAAGTGCTGTCATATTAGAACCCCAATAAAATATTATATAAAGTACTCGGCCGCCGAAAAATAACCACTCAGGCGAATTTGACAACCCATTCATTCGTCCGGCGCCCCTGTATATATATGATTATATTATTATATATTATATTGATCATCACGAATAAAATGTCATGCGAAACTCGTACGATTTCAACGACGACACAATATTATTTCACCCCGCAATCGCATGTCGTATAATAATATTATGTACGAAAATAACGTCCGCGCTGGTCAAATATATACCGTCAAATCATYGTCTTACGAAATTCGTAATTATTTTCGATTCATTGTTGGATTGTTATTGTTTTAAACCAACTCGACGGTGATTTAGGTGGGTACACAGAAATCGTGCTCGGATATAGTCGAAACGACGATTATTTTTGTCGTCTTGTATATACGTACATTTATATATATAGACAAGATGATGATATAGGTTTTTTATAAACGCACTGATTCGGCCGGAGGACATTACAGCGGCACATTATTATTATCGTCGTCTTCATCTTTGTGGCATATTCGTCGACTGCATCAGAGGATCGCCGGGACGAGATAAAGATGAAAATCGTGGAGGGATAAAAATGATCATCGGAAAATCAGCCGGGTCAAAAATAAATTTAACGAAGAAAAAAAGAAACAACCGCGCCGTAACCCGACACCGGATATTCGCGTTATTGTCACCACGGAAACGTAAACATTTCAATAAAATTCGGAACGAGCAGCCGCCACTGTCCAATAATAATAATAATAATAATGTCACATTGTCCGAAAGGTAAAATCCTATACATGCCTACACCTGTCGCGCGCTCTCAAAAATCATACAATGACGTTTTCCTTAATCGAATGTACTATGCGATTCGACAAATTTGTTCCATCACGCGTTTAATTCAAACTGCAAGACTGCGCGGGATACAAAATATGGGTATTATACAGGATGTGCAAATGGATTCGAATGCTGCAATATTTCTATCAGTAAAATTGTCGAATTTATGCGATGCACCATCATACACCCTGTAGTATCGCACGTAAATATAGTATACGTTATAAAAACATCGTGTTATAACAACCTATACATACGCACCGAAATATTATTTCATTTGCGGGGAGGTTTGAATGAATTCCAAAATTCGTGCTTGCGGATTTCGAGAAAAACAAATTAATGTACCTCCGAATCGTCAGTGGTTTATTTGAATTACATACTATATATGTAGGTATGTACATATTATATAGCTACGTGCACGCATTGTACCCATAATATGTTAATATAATACAAAATTGTTTCACGTAGGTACCAACTACATGGTATACTGATGGTATTAACTATGTATATTATTATGTATATAGTGTATGCTCGTGGTATTTAACACGCGGCTAATTACAATATCGCTTATTTACGTATTTTTAATAAGATTGTTTTCATGCTAACCGTCCAAAGTTACTCACTCGACGTAAACGCAGCCCACGCAAGTTACATGATAATTTTAGAATGTAACAAATTTACAAAAAAAAAACAATAAAAATAAAAATATGAACTCTAAGAAATGATGAAAAAAAACTCGATGCATTCAACTCTCGTTTCCGTTCATATTATATATATATAGTATATACGTGTATGTATATGYGTGTGTATATAGACTGCTGCAGTAGATCATATAGGACATATATACACGAACAGGAACCCGTTAGTTCCTGAGGCCCATAGGTGCTAGAAGAAGAAGGCACACCTTGTTTATATTCTTTTAACTAACAAAAAGATCACGAGATAAGCCGCGCCATTAGTCAACGTTATATCTGACGACGTCATAAAATTAATTATATACACACTTTTTTACTCTTTTTATTCTTTTTTATCAATGTGTGCTCGTTTTAATGACGATGAGTGTGCGGTTTGTGATGGCGGCAAGCAAAAGTGTACATATAGAGAGAGTGAATAATGATAATAATAATAATGAAAAAAAAATGATATTCAATAAGACGATTTTTTTTTTTATTTACTATTGTGAATGGAACAAACGAACGATATATACCAACCGATAAAAAGTCAATCAGCACAAAATGTTTTTAGTCGCCATATATAGGTGCGTATTTGTTCATATAATATAATATTATAATGATATGATTCCTTCCAAAACTGGTTGTAAAAATTTCAATTTTTTTTGATCCAATAATGTATTTTGTCTGATATACCTATTATTCTATATTTAATGGGAAACAAGATAAATAATATTATAAGAATGAGGGACCTGCTGCAGCACGCCAAACCACTATGTAGGTTGGAGAGACTTAAWTATTGTCCGTTTATAAGCATAAATTAATATTAGTTTGTTTTTTTATTAATACCACTCAGTGCCGATTATTTTACTGACCAGTGGCTGTAGTGACTCAGTTCAAAGCAGAGTTTTGAACGCACGATAATATGCATRTATRTTATATATATTAAAACATACATTTTGTGTTTCAACAATATTGTTAAGCGTACGTTTTTGATTTTTACCATTTAAATACTAAACGATTATCAGTTACATTTATAAAATACAATATCATGTATATATTATAATTAAAAAAAAAAAAAATCATTTTTGCGAAACAAATAATAACCGTGTTCACTGCGGTCTGAAGGCAACAATATATAAATATTTAAAACGGCGGGAAAATGGCAAAATGCGTATAAATTGAATCTATATGACAAATCGTTTATATACTAAATTKAATTGTCAATATATATATATTATAATATTTTATCTTGTACACGTCACCCATAACTCTTTATACCAATATAAAATGACAATGGAATATTATGGTACAATACAATACTTATGTATTAAATATATACTACTGTAGTATGTATATATATAAATTGTACCTACACATATACTATATAGGCACTGGTAGTATTTTGTAGACGTGAAGGAGGAGATTCTATCGTCATATTTTTTTTTTTAAGTTATTATTTACTCGTAGAATGGCTTCTTTCCATTCTGTTATAACATCGCCAGATTAGGTGGCGCCACATGTCATGCAAGGTTCAAAGATTCGACACCGACAGTCCATGATGAAGCGGTTTTTATAATTTTCTTTTTCTGTCTCTCTATATAACATATACGCATATATATCTACAATGCGTACACAGAGTGTTTTTACTACTCTCATTATACAWGCCCGGGGCTCTTAGTGATGGGTTTACGCGTTTAAAATCCATTTTCTACCGGCAGCCTAATCGAAAAACGGCGGCTAAATTAAAAACAAAAAATGTATATACGAGCGCGGAAAGGGGAAACTCACCATTATCTCTTGTTCGGTGGGCCATCCTTCATTGCAAGATTTGCCAGTTARGGCGCTTTGGAAATCAGGAACCTGTAAACACACATCGAATAATAAAACGATTAGCTAAATGCAAAATAAAATAAGAGCAAAATTAACTTATATTAATAATATATGAACGCATATAATAACCAATCATCTATTTTAATGTATATAAAGTATTATTGTATTTTACAATATTAAAAACACATTTTTAAAAATAATTGAACGAATTTAATTGTTTTTGCAGTATCATTTAAGACAATCCGCGCGTCATATCACGTATCGTGTTTACCTATATATATTATATATAATATATAATATATATATATATACAAATATTTTATAAATTGTATTATAAAAAATTTCACTTATACACGATACGCAACAAATGTTAACATTGTAATACATATTCTGTGACATAATATAAAATAAAAGTATATATTACAATGTTTTTCCTCAAAATAAAGATATWATTGTTTATGTTTGCAGATGAACTGCAGTATATATAGATCATCATCAATCGTAATAATATTATTATATTTAGATGYTTTTACGACAAAGCTCAMAGAGTGACGAAATCATTGAMGACAGTTTTGGGCGTCTTTCGGAAACGCGACAACGACAAAGTGCAGCGGTCTTGCCGTTAAACGAAGGTCGTACCGAAAACGAGTTCATTAATACATCCTCCGGGCGTAATATACATATTTTACACATGAATAATTTGACGGTACACCATCAAAGTTAACTCTCATATACTCATACACAGGTACGCATGCATATATGTATAAGTACCTATACACAATAATGGGGGCTCAAAGCAATTATATATATATATACTATATCTCGACGATACACCGCCTTTAGCTAAAAAACATGTGTTTCGGACAAAACGCATGTCATAAATCCTTTCGTCCGCTGCAGCAGCATTAGTCGCTATCTCTTTCCGCCGAAGACGTATAATATAATATGTATAATAATAATGATATATATATATACGAGTGTGTGCGTGAAATGTGTAATATCGTAGGTAGCTGCAGGTAGGTATAGATAGATAGGTATGGAGTTTAGATCGAGCAGTTCGTCGGCTAGCTATTTATTTTCTTTGGTCGAGCTACCGATTTACGCGTTACCGGTTCGAAATTTAAACTTATTTTTTCAAATTCCATTTTCAATCATTCAGCAAAATCTGCCGCTCACGGACTCGGACGCATCACATCCAAGCGCATATAAATATATTTATATATTGGAACGAAACGTCTACTTAAAGTGATCTGGGTTCACGTGCACAGCTTGAGAACGTCAGATTTTTGTTGAATGTGTGAAGGTATATGCTTTATTATATATATAAGAGACCGGCACTATAATAACAACTGACCATCAAAATAACAATTGCCAATTGCCCATTTCCAACAATATAAAATATATG